GGGTTCCGTCTTACACTAATGATAAAAATGTACCCCTCTGACAACTGTATCTGTATTTTGGGGTGCTTTCATTCATCCTGTTTACAAGCGGATTATAAGCGTTATTTGGGTAGTTTCGAGGGAACACTGTCCGTTAAATGGTCTTGTGACCGTCAAGCGTGTGATAATGCTTGTGCTTGTTTTGTATAAAGCTTATCTCAGAGTTCGAAAATAGGGGATTTTTTCAGCGCAGCAGCAGCCGGTGATATATCAGCCACAGGGAGCAGCCGGTACTGTTTCATCCACTCGTCATAATTCGATAACCGCTGCAAACAGTGGTCCACCACTTCAGCAACAACAACCGTACCAACACACCATTGTTCAGGGCAATCAGTCCCAGCCAAGTTAGTTTCAAGGTTTACAAGAAGTGGTGGTACAGTTCGAGGTCTGAGAGCATGGATTTTTCCATATAAAGCCCGCGTATTCACCTAGACGCCTCACAAGTTGAATTTGGTAGCACAAAAAGAAACGTCACATTGTCAGATGCTTTCGACAAGTTTGAATACAGCTTGCGGGGTACTTTGGAAATCAACAGTGAATTTTGGCTCGCACCCACCATATACTGAAGAAGGGAGCGGGGAGCAAGACTGACGAAAATAAGGATTACAACACTTGTTTACAGCCTGAAGTATAGTTTCAGAAGCTTAAATAGGCATATCGATTTGGCCGCAGCCTTGCTTACCCAACTTTACAGTCGCGAGCGGAATTCGTTGCAGATCGGTTTAAAGCCTTTCTGACATGTGCGTAACGATTAACCACAAATGACTTGCAGAATGTGATTTGCTCAATGCTAAAATTAAAATTGTCTGTCAGGATGTCAAAAAACATGCAGAATGTTTGGGGTGCTTCGTCAAAAAGTTTTTAGGAGGAGCTGAGGGGAAAGGCTTGGAGCGAAATGTGATGCTTGGCATAGCGCAGGCCTTTTCAGTGCAGATTCAGTTCGCTGAATAAGCGCTTCCAATCCATTTTTTTATGCGTTTTGTGCTGTGTAACAGCAGTACAAAACGCATATTGTTACGGGGTTGTC